AGAGAGAGAGAGAGAGAGAGAGAGAGAGAGAGAGAGAGAGAGAGAGAGAGAGAGAGCTGGTGTTCTCCGTAGATCCAGAGAGTTGGTGGAGAGGCAGCAGGACGAGATTGAATTGCGAGATTCACCGAGGAAGACAAACTCCGACTGTGTTCGCCATAGCGGCATAGCGGCATAGCCCAATGGATGAGGGAGGACAGAGGGAGTAAACTCGGTAAAGAGTGCAGCTTGAGGCTCTCGCTACCACTGCAGCTAGAGTCGGCCGGAACGCAGCGAACAAGGTGCACTTCATGAGAGGAGGAGGAGGAGGAGCCTACCTCTTGGCTCCGAGTGTAATGAGAGCTTGGGATGAAAATCGAGTCTTCTTTCAAAGACCCACCAACACCATATCCATACACCTTCTAATGGCCAAGTCCAACACTCTTTATAGGTGCGCCCGCGGTCGCTGGTCCCCTCCTCCGAAGTGGGACATAGAGGTCCGCGCGGCCTTCAGGCCCGAACGATCTATCGAGGAACGACTGCCAGTGGAAACGCTGGGCCCAGGAACCGGTTGGACCACGAGCGTGCTGAGCATATCAAGCCGCCTACGTAAAGCCACCGCCTAAGCCCTGGAGCCGCTTTGACCGACGGTAGCCTCCGCTTACGGTCGCCTCCGCTTACGGTCGCCTCCGCTTGGGCCTACATGGAGTTTCCATCTGGGCCTACGGTGGCCTCCGCTTTGGCCTACGGTAGAATCAGCCAGGGCCTACGGTAGGCGTCTGCTTGGGCCTACGGTAGAATCAGGCAGGGCCTACGGTAGGCTCTGCTTGGGCCTACGGCAGGGTCCGCCTGGGCCTACGGTAGTCTCTGCTTGGGCCTACGGTAGGGTCCGCTTGGACTCACTGGCGACGGCCCTGTCGTCGTGGGCACTGTCCCCGTCCTCTTCTTTTCCCCTTTTTGCTTTGATTTGATTTTGATCCCCCTTCGCGTTGCGTGCGCTATGCCAAAGCTGCGAGCTCTGCGTTGGCTGGGGCCTTTCTTGGGACCGCTGACTGGGGCCGGGACCCAGGAACTGTGGTGGTCCCTGACTGATGTACGCGCTCAGTCCCTGGTAACTGCAGGCAGGGCCGTTCTCAGGAGGTGGTGACTTGCCATGATGTATCGGACCGCCTTTGCGGTCCGGCTTCGATGTCCCTGACCGCCATCACGTCCACAAAAAGGTCATGTGAGCATGGTGTCATTCATGGCTGATAACGTGAGAGTCGTCGTGAGAGTGAGAGTCAATCGGCGCACTGAGCTGTGCGGACTGTCCTCCTGCCCCGACCGCAATGCCCCAGCATCACGACTGCGCCTTCCTGGCCGGGGGCTAGGTCCCACTTACACGAATTAAGCAATATTGACCGTAGATAGCAAAGATCAACGGCCATAATCTCTTATCAGAGGGCAAGTACCTTGCCCCGGGCCGCAATGCCCCAGCGTCACTACTATATGTATTTGGACAGGAAAGAGGGTTGTATACGCTCCTGATGATGGGGCGTTTGTTTTTGTTACGAGGACGCGGCGAGGGTTCGAATCCGCCTTCCCCGTTCGACTGCTGAAACGATACATACATACGTACATATGTTCGCGCGGGTTACTTAGTAAAGGGCGAAAGAATAGTGCGTTGGGAAAAAAAAAAAAGAATAGTGCGTTATATGAAGTAAGACCGCAGTCAATGTTCGCGCGGGGTCATGTGTGGCGCGAGACAGCGGGAAACTACGCTTTTTTTTTTTCGTTTTTTTTTCTTTTCTTTTGTGTCTTTTTATTCCGCAAGGACCAGCCGACCACGAGGTGGTACCTGTAGCGCGGGTGGTAGGATATGGTAGTGCAGAGGCAGACGGACAGACTGAGGGCATACTCACACTACCTAATAGCACTTTTCTGGATGAATCTGACTGGAATCACGCCCACGCGGGATGCGTCTGGCCGTAATGACGTCTAGAGCCTAGTAGAAAAGATCCTCATCTGAGTATGCCCTCAGTGTGCTTGAGGGCAATCGATAGGACAGGGGGTGCGCAAGAAGATATACGGAGCTTCGAGAAGCACCAATGGGGCCTTCAAAAAAAAAAAAAAAAAAAAAAAAAAAA